TTCCAAACTCTCGAGCTAAGAGAGGTTTCTGTCTAGGCTGCCTGTGTTTTCCTTAAATATCCCTAAACCCTAAATCCTGAACCCTAAATCCTAGACCCCAGACCCTAAACCCCCAAACACCATTGTCTATTCTAGGGCTTCCAAAAACATCCACATCATGTTTCCAAAGCGGCCGCGTCCAAAAGTTCAGACCTATGCACGAAGCCCTAGATTCTAAAACCTAGCACGTCAAGTTGTGAGCCTGAAGCTCTAGGGCAACAAGTTCTTGAAATCCATGTGTAGTTCTTAGACCGGTTGAACACTCATGAATACAAAGCCTCCAATATCCCAACCAAAAAAAACGAACCCTAAGCCCCACAGCCTCTAAATCCTAAATCAGAAGCATCTACACCCTGCAGCCTAAGCCTTACACCCTAAACCCTAAATGCGAGCAAGGTCATGAGCTACCCTCGCAGCACCGGCGCCGGAAAGCTTCGATCATCAAGGAGTGGCACTGGGTCATATGAGCCATACATGACCTACAGCCTAAGCGCCTTAAAGGGGGATTATACAAGGTTTAGGGTCTAAACCCCATTCAAGGGGGATTACATGGAAGATTAAATAGGGGAGTATTAATTATAGGGGTTACTAAGCGGGATGCTAGGAGTTTAGACTATGGCTCATATGAGGTTTACCTGGACATCCAGTCCAAAAGCAGGTAGAATCCCTAAACCCTGAGACCTGAACCCTAAACATCATGGCCCAGAACCCCCCCTAATGTCCGAAAGGCCGAGGGGCTGTCATTGTACATACTTTGGGGGTCCAGGTAGGGTTTGGGCTTGTTGGAACAGTTGTGAATACCCATTATGGGACCCTAAGCAAAAACCTAAAGCCCAATAAGGAAAGCACAATTACATTGCTTAATGGTGTCCCCGTATATCCTATACATCTTCAACCCTATACACTCTACACCCTAAACCCTATACTAACTACAGCAAAAACCCTACACCAAAACCCAAAACCCTAAACACCCTAAACCATTTAAAGCAACAACTACACCCGAAATCCGAAACCAAGAGCCCGAGCAGCCCTCCACGGTGTGAAGCTGTCCAGCTTTGGTTTTATGTTTTCCTTTGGGGCCGCCTGCCCCTGGGAGGATCTAGAAAATGGAGCCCTTGATATGGTACCCTATACTTCTATTGGACAAGTTCTAGGAACTTTTACGTGGGTTCTAGTTTCTGGATCTTCCAATGGATCTGGGTACATCAAGTGATGATTTGTTGAGACATCTCCTTGGCCTAAACATTAATTCAGGGTTTAGAGTTTAGGGTTGTTTAGGGTTTGTAAGTGAGGGCCTCTGTCGCATATTTTTTGGATTCCCACGGGTATATAAGGCCTTGATGCAATTGCCATCACCATGAGTGGCTGGGGAGCGACTGAGGTCTATAGCAGTATGTAGAGGGCACCTGCGCACTTTTAAGTGGGTTGAGGATTCAGCCCAGAATTAGTTCTTCAAAAAGCAGTAAATTCAAATTGCTTCCGCTGCGTCCCCAAACTTTAAGTAAGCCCTGAAAGCCGAGTACTACCCCAGGTGAGATCCTAGAAGTATATTTGTCTTAGATGAGTCCAGCGTCGTGCCCCTGAAGCTGCGCGACTTGAGGGTATCTCCATGAGCCCTCATAAGCCCTAAGCGCTTTAAACACGAGCCTGGAATTTAGGGATTTCGTTCAGCAAGGGTGTGGTCCGCGTCAAGCCTGCATCGAGGGTGGATTTCATGTGGAGACCCCAAACCCTTAAACCTTTGGAAGTTGTGGTCAAAGTGGTGTCTGCGTTGGGTCCATGAACTCAAACCCTAAAACTCTGTAAGCCTAAATCCGAAAACGTACAAAAACCTAAATAACGCTGAAACCTGAGCCCCTGAATCCTAAATCCTAACACCTACAAGACCTCAAAGCATATGAGCTGTAGTCGAAACTCCTAGTATCCCCCTTCATAGGCCCTAAAAATGGGAACCCCACATAATGCGGTATATAGCCTCCTCCCGGAGTTTAGACTACAGCTCATGTTAGTTTTGGGGAGGCTAACCCTAAACCTTAAATCCTAAACCCTAAACCCTTCTGGGAGGAGGATCCTGAGTGGACTTTGGAGAGTCTGAGCACTGCGGAATGGGAATTGCTTGCAGAATGCGTGCACGAACATCCAGGAGGGGGTCTTCACGTCTTCACCCGGGGTTTAGGGTGTAGATACTAGTTACGGGGTATAGGGTGTAGGGTCTAGATACTAATTACAGGGTTTAGGGTGTAGGGTTTACATACAATTGCAGGGTTAAGGGCTTTAGACTTTAAGGATGATACTACTCAAAGAATGGAGAATCAAATATGGAAAAGAACACGGATCTGAAGTGGTCACTGGATTTGTTGGGTGTTTATATTGATTAGCGGTTAAAGCCACAGCATAGAGCCCATCAAAGGTCTTGTATAGCAGATCTATAGGGTGTACAATTGAACAACGCAAAACCCACTAGGGTTTAGCCAGGGGAGCCTTCAACAAGACCTCCCAATCACCCAACCAATATCATCGTACCCAACAAATTTTGTGTTCAAGGCCATCATTACAGGTACTGTAGCATGGAGGTTGAGGAAAGGGTTTTTGAGGTGAACGGGTGTGAAGTAGCCTAAACCCTAAACCCCATTCCACCTTAGTTACCTTAGCTGTTTTCTGTTTACGTTTCAGAGCTGGCACAGAGTAGCTGTGGAACTAGCCACCCATTCCCCCTTACAGTAACTGTCCTTAAAGAGGCTGGATTAAGTTAAGGGGCTGCTATAACTCCTAGTATTTCTTGTGGTAATTGTTACTGTAAGGGGGAGTTGTCCTACGGTACAGGGCCAACCTGTATAAATAGATCTCAAGGCTGAACAACCAGGTTCCAGGATGTTTCGGCATGTTTAGGGTTTAGGGTTTGGCGTTTTGAGTTCAGTGGGGAGAACATGAGGCAACATATGTTACAAACACCTGTCTGGGGTCAGGGTCTGAAGTAGTGGCCCTAGACTTATAGCCTGATTTTCAACGGAACTTAAGCAGAGGCTCCGAGCCTAAACTGTGATTGGTAATCTCACCATTGCACATTCCCGGCGCGTTCAGTGGAATAGGACAGCAAAGGTAGCCTTGTATAGCCCCATAGAAGACCCGTGAAGATCTACAGCTCTTTATTCTGTCTATACATGTACATGCAGAGAAATACATACATGAAAACATAATTCTGTGTATATATATATATACATATGGACATAAGCTTCATAGAAATATATAAGCACATGTACATGTATAGGTATGGTGTACACCCAACGAAAGCTGAAGGAGAGTCTTTTCATGTTTTGCCACCTGGCTTTGACCCCAAATCCCATGCTTATACTCCGTCTTTCAAAATGCAGATGCCGTACTTCTGGCATCTCTACCACCCCAAGCCCGAAGCACAAACGGACCCCAGCACCCCAACTAGATAATATACATCCTATAGATCCTCAATACCTATGATTCCTGACCAAACACCCTGGACCCTGAATGCCCTAAACCCTAAACCCTAAACCCTGAATGGCCTAAACCCCAAACCCCTGCATCTAAGCCCTGAATGCCATACCGAGAATTTTCCATTGTCTTTCCACACAACTAGGTACCCCAGTGGTACACTTTTTCCCTTTTTGTTTTGGGGTCTCCTTATGACAGCTGCATAATAGGGAAAAAAGGTACCCTTATTATTAAGGGGTTACTGGGGAGCCTAGTAAATCTCAAACTATCCCAAACTCGAAGCCCTAAATCTTAGATCCCAGGCCCTGCATGGTGGCGTCCTTTTTATTTCCATGTCTTCCCTAAACCCTTAACTCTAAACCCTAAACCCTAAGTCCTAAATCCTAAACCCTAAATCTGAACCCTAAACTCTAAGGCCTAAATCCTAAACCCTAAATCTGAACCCTAAACTCTAAGGCCTAAATCCTAAGTCCTAAATCCTA